GTATTCGCATTCCCAGCGAACAAGTATTGGATTCGTTGGGATTCATGTTTACAAATCACCCTGATTATACTCACACAAGGATTATATACAGAACGTGGTATGTTTCTATTTACAGTATAATATTTAGTAGTTAAAAATATAATAATTGTTATATTAATTTTTTATGCAATCATATTTGTAATTAAGTGTTTTTTTTTAATATACAGTATTTAGTAATCTTTTTGAATACAAATACAGAATATATACTTTTATATAATATCTTAATTAATTTTATTGTTACACTTTATTAGCTATTTGTATTAATTATCATTTTAAATATGATTTTATGACTTTATATTTTGAAACATATATTGATTCTTATTATTTATATTTATAATATTTTAAATATTTGTTTAACAAATATGAATGATTTCCTTGAACTCTATTTTTACCATAAAGAATATTTTATAAAATTCTATGAATATTTTACAATTAGTTTATTTTCTAAATTGATTTTATTATAAATATTTATAACAAAATATTGTGTACTGTATACACAATTACAAAATGTGCAAAAATACTAATATTTTCGATTATTTGTTAAAATATTCATCAAATATTATAAAAATATTTATTTAACGAAATTTATTTTTTGACATAAAAATAATTGAGAAAAACAGAAACAGAATTTGAGAACTTATATGAATGTAACTCATAATAGGCATAAAGGGTTGACTTGTGTTACATCTCATTATAAGGAATATTCTGTTATAATATAAAACTGCTTACGAATACAGAATCTGACGACTAATATAAGCAGATTCTTGGCTTTGAAAACACATTATTTTGAATACTAGTCGATAGATGTCTAACATTAGTGTTAAAACATTGCATTCAATGTAAACTCAAAACACATGACATTTTTGTTGAATGAGTTAATGAGTAAATGTATGACAGGTTTGACTGAAATTTAATAATACATTTAATTCACACATTATTTAAACGTATTTTTTATATAAATTGTGTTAATTTTAATCAAATATTTGTTACGATTAAACCTCTTATCAGTGGTATTGAGATTAAGTGAGAAAATCCTATTATATCTCACACTTAAGCCCTGAATTGAATGCCAAATACTTTTCAACAGTAATTCAATCGACAAATTGTATTATATTTTGTGTAAAACGTGTGAATAGTTTAAAGTTTTAATTATTTGTTAAACACTTTTATGTGTTTTTTAATTAAGCGATAGTTTTATTTATAAAAGTTATACATTTTTATTATAATAATATCACTAAATGTGTTGCGAAACCATTTAAATCCCATTATTTGACCCATTGATCACAAGTGATGACCAAATGGCCACTAATTATCACCGAAGACCACAACCGCCGGAAAACAGACCCTCGGCTTTGCTCTCGAAGGAAGAAAATACGGTTCTCTTCGGTTTGTTAGGCAAGAAGTGTACGGTATGTCCACTATTGGCACCAAACCATCGTTTATATCACTTATCATTGATATGTTAATTAATTTTAACACTTATTGTCGTCCCGTAGACACTGTCATCATCGGTGGTGCAGTTATTGCTGACAGAACCTCCACATCACTCGAAATGGCAGATCCGTTGCACAGGAGTTGTCTGTTTCGTCAAAGACAACCCCAAAAGATCCTATTTTATTCGTGTCTATGATTTTGATGTAACTATCATTTGAATTACGGTTTAACGTAAATATTGTGTGAATTAATGGTTTATTTGTTTGTCCGCCAAATGACTGATTATAGAGACAACAATTGGTTTGGGAACAGGAGTTATACAATACATTTCAATACAAGACTCCCCGCGAGTTCTTTCACACATTTGAGGCTCACGTAATGACCGCTCATTTCTTATTGTTTCTATAGTGAACTTTTCATATATAGTGTACACAAAACATACCTTACATTAGATTTATAGTTAAAATATGTGTTTCATATCAGATGTAAAGAGACGATTATTTTTAATTGAAATGTTTGTGTGGTTTACTTTACTTTACAATGAGTTTCATTACAAACACATAATGACATTGTTTTAGTGGTTTATCTAATTGTGTGTCTGTTATGTACTGAATGTGTTGTATAGGACTGTATGGCTGGTCTCAACTTTGCCGACGATAAAGAGGCCAAACTATTCAAAGATGCAATCAATGGAAAGTTGAATGAGAGACAGAGAAGACAAGGTATATACGCCGGTTAGACATTTTCATTACCTCTTATTTAAATCTGTATGAATTAAATGCCAAAACAAACGATTCTTTTAATGAAAAAATTATTTTTTGAAATATTTTGTTTTGCATTTTTCGCATCAATTTGTCTTTGTTTTGTTGCATTGAAAGTCAATACCTGGTAATGAATGAATGCTTCGCTTTAATAAATATAACAAATGAATGTCATTTTAAGAGTCGCAACAGTCTATTGGTTTTGTTAATAAATATTTGTTCATTTTGTGTGTCGTTAGACGAGAGTTAATGAAAATACATATCTCTATGTATTTAAGTGAAAATTTAGGCTAAACTTCTCGTTAGTGAGGAATTAGTGTTCCTTTAAATGTAAGTCAAGTTCTCAATAAGAAAACAACTTTTTTTCACTTGATATGTGGTTTTATAGCCAATAGTTTTTTATTTGTGCCCTTTTTTGCCGGCCTGTAATCGCACTGTTAGTACTGCTCCACAAACATAACTATTCCAACAATCAATTGATATCTCAAACAGTAATTTGTATTTTTTCCGTCCGATTATATAATCTATAAATTTCAGTCAAATATTGAGAATAAGAAAAACAAATTGAATGCATATTTGTTTGAGATTAAGATTCAGGCATTTGTTATAATTTAGAAATGCAAACGTAAATCAAATATACATTTCATTGCCTTTATATCCATGGTTTTGATTGTGATTATTATTTGCGAAAAAGCAATAAAATAAATATCCATTTGAATCGAGGGATAAATACAAGGAATGCCTGGAAGTTCACTAACCATTGCCCCCCTTTGGCATCCAATGGTATTCAAATGACACTCAAAATATAAATAATCTCATTGCTAGTGATCTGATTGTCTGAATATTAATAATAGGCGATCGAGTTTTGAAGTCTTCTTTGATTAGTTATGTATTATTTTAATAACTATTTATTTGCCGTCAAATTCATAGCCCAACACATGAATTATGTTAAGTAAACGATTAAAGTATTTAATGGTATAAAAGGGTTGATTAGAAAAAACTAAAACAAATCAAATATAATTAGAAAACACTGAATAATAATTGCATTCAAATTGATTGCAATCCTTAAGCCATTTAAGATTTGAGATAAAAACGTGATCTTCTTTAGTGTTGATGTGTTTGAAAATGCAATCCTCTTCTAAACTAATTGCTAATCGATGTCTTAGTTTACGCCCCATTTGTGTTACATTAAACGTATGTCTTTTTGTGGTTTATTCAATGTCTGAGACTATTGTGTTTGGCTTTCTATACATTTAATTAGATTTTAAATAATTCTTGGATTTTATTGTTTAACAGAGAAACGCATTCAAAATCAACAGAATATTCCTCAACCGACAAACACTGGCGTCAGTATTCAGGGTTAGTGTCACATCATTTGCATCACTCTTTCAATTCTACTAATCTCTCTCTCTCTCTCTCTCTCTCTCTCGTAATTTTAATGAATGTTGTATTTGTGCTTTAGTGCCAGCGATTGCGGCAAATCGTTCGCAGTCTCTGTCGTCACTACAAAGTCATCCAAAGAAGTCGGGAAAGAAGGACAAGAAGAAGTTGACCAAAGAAGACATCGGCGCCCCCTCTAACTTCCAACACATCCAACACATCGGTTGGAATCCCAACACCGGTTTCGATCTCGAGAACGTCGACCCAAACCTCCGACAGTTCTTCGCCGAAGCGGGCATTTCTGAGGAACAGCTCGAAGACAATGAAACACGAAATTTCATTTACGACTTTCTCGAGAAACACGGAGGCGTTGAGGCGGCCCTTCAAGAGATCCGCGGACCCGCGCCGTCCGTCCCATCCGTACCGCCGAATGCCTCTCATCCGGTGCCACAACTTCCACACCACCCGCCCGTCCATCACAACCACAACCCACCGGCCGCTCCAAACATACCATCGCACGCACCGCCGCCTCCACCACAGCAGCCGTCGTCTTATTTGCACAGCAGTCGGTCCCCCCATAAACCCAATGCACCGCCGATACCATCGACACCATCGATGCCCACCACAGCTCCCCCTCCGCCGCCTCCACCGATGCCTAGTTCTGCGCCACCGCCTCCTCCGCCGCCACCCATGCCATCGATGGGAGGCGGAGGACCACCACTGCCGCCACCGATGGCTGGTTTGCCACCACCGGCTCCGGCATCGAGTTTGCCTCCCGTGACAGACACCCGAACAGCGCTCATGGATCAGATCCGAAAGGGAAGACAATTACAGCACGTGGAGCCCGACTCGGACTCCAACAAAAGCAATAACTCCAATAGCAATAGCGATGATCCGCGCAATGCTCTCATGAATCAAATCAAACACGGAGTGGGTCTCCGGCCGGTGGAGGACCGGCCCCTCAAACCCATGCAAAAGAAAACCGATGAGACGGGAGGTCTGAAGGAAGCGCTAATGCGGGCGATGAACGAGAGGTCGCGAGCCATCAATAGGACAGACGACGAGAGCGACGGCGACTCCGGCGATGGCGGCAGTGATGGAGACGAATGGGACGATTAGAAAGAGTATTATCAGCAAAAGGTTTCAATCAATTAAATGATGGATGAATTCGGGGCTTATTTTGAAGAAAACTATGCTTTAAAGAGTGAATTCACTATTTTTTGATAAATTAAGTAATTATTAGCAATAATTCAACTAAAATACAAAGTTTTGCTTTTCATTTCAGTACAACTTTTAACTTTTTTGTGCTCTTTTTGGCAGTTTTTTAAAGCTTTAAGTTTTGAAGAATGAAATTGTTTTTTATATTTTTGCAATAATTTCTTGTTTTATTTTTTTCACTTTATTATTAATTATAAAATTAAATTATTTGCGCCAATAAACAAGTATTTATTTGTATTATCGATGCCTTAAACAGTATATACATTACATTGCAGTATATGTTATATAATAATATAGTTATAATTTATTAGATTTTTGCTTCTATTATATAATATAAATGTAAATCATTTAATTTACAAAAAGATTTTTAGGTTAATTTGAAATAACAAACAATAAAATGCAAATCTATTATAATGTTTGTCTTATTTTTCGTTTTGTGTTCATTTTATATACAAAAACACTGTTTTTGTTATAAAATTAAGTCATTTTTTGGAGGAAATAATTGAGGAAAAAGTTATCTAATATTTTAATGCATTTAATAAGCGATTAATAAATTGAGATTTGAATCTTTCGATTGCATTCAATGGAAAAATACATTCAACACAAATGGAGAGAAGAAAAATTTTAATTGAATATTAGACGGAGAGAGAGAGAGAGAGAGAGAGAGAGAGAGAGAG